AGGTCAAGGAAAACTGAAGTCCTCATTCTGTGGTTACAAGCCCACTGTCATACTGTTTCTGTGCGTGATAAGCAGTATATGCCTCCAAATCAGCAGATTCCAACACTCACCTATTACAGAGCTCTTCCAGCACCAGACAGTAGTGGTAGCTCTGGTGCCGCACTATATGACAATCTTGGCAAAATGGTACACTGGATGGTAGGTTGTACGCAGATGTTATTTCTGTCTCTTCTGTTACATTATATTGATGACTACTTTTTGTGCACTGCTGTGTCATAACTGGGCTATGAATACAGAAAAAGCTTTCCCATTTAAATCATCCTCAGACAAAACTGGGAAAATTTGTGGAGGGCCTTTGAAAATGAATCTTTAAATGGGTGGAATGTATTACTGTTGAACCTTTTTTGTACAACAAGTCATTTATTTTAAGCAGAAAAGATGTAATCAGCTATGCTCTCCGGGATGCATGTTATTGTTACGACTATGACAAGCTTGTTCCGTTGACGTATACTGATTTTAGCATTTTCTTTTTCCTCTGGACTAAGCAAAATAAATTCTGTCCAACTCCATATTCTGTTAGGAGGTCTTTGAAAACAAAGTGTATTTATTATTGAGTTTTCCCAAGATTGCTTGGCTTCTAGATCGATGTAAAGGAAAATTTTTCCATTTGCTTTCCTTTCACTCTTACTACCTTTCATTTTCCTTTTTTTATTTTTTTTTCACTAAAATGAAATTAGGAAGACTGTGCAGATATGAGAAGCAAAACCTGCTGGGTTTCTATCATTTAACAAAACAGTTTCCTCAAGGAAACTGTATGGAGCACAACATTGATAAAGTGTTCTGAGGATAGAGGCCAAGACATCTAGATATAAATGGGCTTGAATTAAATTAGGTCTATTCTTGGGGGATAACTTGGTGCCTCCTGGAAGGTAATGAAGAATATTAGTCTAGTTCAATGTTACAGGGCATCAGCAAAACCTTGGACTGAAGCTCAGGCGAAGATGGCTCCATGAATGTCTTCCAGAGTTAAAGTTACAAAGCAAAACTTCCCAGATTTAAACCAAAACTTATTATAATCCTAGAACTTTACATTAGAATTGTAGAACTGATCTTTCTGGCAGCTTGTGTACACAGTTTTATAAGAGACAAGCTCAATGCTAAAGTTCATGTGACACAAGGATCTTCTTATCTGTCACATCAGCATCTATTACTTCTACTTCACAACTGAGAAACAGACAAATTCACAGTCCCATGATTTTCCACAGGTTACAGAAATAATCTGCTTCATTGTTAGGAGTTTAGCTGAAGAGTATGTTTAATGCTTTAGGCACAAAGCTGCTTGTTTCTGATATCCCTCCATTTTCAAAAGCACAAATCCTAGGCTTTGATGCACAGGCAATGAAGGACTAGAACTTTCTAAATTATTTTTATTAATTTTTTAACACTTTATTAATTGTTGACAAGGGTGGCAAGGATTGAAAAAAATTAGAGGGAAAGAGAGAGCATTCTTCCCTGTGGCCTCAGCCAAGAAAAATACACTTAATGAAGTTATGTACCATGACTAGCAAAGACCTAGTTCAGCACAGGGAAGTATAGCTTGGCTAAACAACCCATCCATCTTACCTGGGCAATTGAAAGCTGTCACAGCAAATGCTAGAGGTCCCTCTTCTATATGGTGACTGTCCCTTGTGTGTCATCTCTTCAGGGAGCCTTCTAGTTGCATCCAAAATATTTTTCTTTCCAGAAAATTAATGGACTTCCTTTTGCAATTGATGACCAGGAATAAGTAGCAGGAGGCCGCATCCAGAGTTAACTGAAGGTAGAGGCAGCAGCAGGAAAAAGAAAGATCTGCTGGAGACTTGATTTTTCATTTTTTTTTCAGTGCATCTGCAATTTTCATCTGATGTAAAGGTTAATATCACTCAGGAGAGAGGTGCCCCTCATTGGGTGTGAATGCACATCAGCACACACATACACACACACACACACACACACACATACCTAGTTGGAGACTTGGTGAATGATGTATAATAGCCATTTTTCCTCTTACCACTTCTTTATTTTCTTGCTGAATTTTTGACAAATAAACCCTATTTTAAACCTCAAGAAGGTTTGAAATAAATAACCATAAAGAAACAAGCTTTTTGTGCTTTTTCTCTGCTTTTCTGCCTTTGCATCTTTATATTCTTGCAATAGTTTTCACTTGTTAACACATTTAATGAAATTTTATAGAGGTGGAGGTCTTAGAGAAAAGTTCCACCAAGTTGAGTGAAAACTTGCTGCTATGTATAGCCAAGACCCTAATTAATGTTTCTGTTATGAAAATAGGTTGTAATACAGTTCAGTAGTTACCTACTCTGTGTGTGTGTCTGTGTGTGTGTGGCATCAATCTTCTCAATTTTTTACCTGACTGCTCAGTGAACACTTACTCAGAAACATCCATAATGTTATTGATTTTTTTCCCCACTGCTAATTAAAGAGCACGAGAGGAAGATGAAAGTCTATGGAAGAGCATTAACAGCCACAGGAATGAACTTGGAAGTGTGGTGGACTTAGGATGTGACAATGTGAAGGTACTCCAGGGCTTGGGACATGGGAGAAGAAAGGGGACAAATGGAGTTGTTAGCATCAGAATTTAGCATTGGAGGACACACACCTGGAAGAAATCAGATGTCTTTTACTTCAATCTGGCACTCACAAGGTTATTTGTTTTATTTCTCAGGAAACTCCCGTCCTGAGACCTCCAGGCATTTTGGCAGCTGCTACTGGTATTCTGACAATGTCTGAAGTCTCTGGGCAAGAACTCTCTTTTGCTAATTGTTGTATGTACTAAAAGTCTTTGAGTCAAACACAAGACATACAGACCAGAGCACAGAGTCTGAAAATTACTTTGCTAAAGTCTTATGGTGTGTGAGACTATTAACTGTACAAGGAATGCCAAATAAAGGAAAATTTTATTTGAGCCATATTAATTATTTAGTATTGGTCAAATCACATGGAACTCGTTGGTGTTTACTAGAGAAAGGTGCTTGAATGACTTAGCTGTTGAATTTTTCTTCAACTCTGTTTTGGGCTCTACTTCTTACATGTTCAAAGGTATTAATTTTACCTACTGAAAAATATTTTGTAGGTCAATGAAATTTTACACAAATATTGCAGAATAGCTACTGACTGAAAATTTGTTATGATTATTCCTTTTTTTTTTTTTTTTTTTGTTTGATGGCTAATCCTATGGGCCACACACAAGCACTGCCACAAAAACCTATATACTCAATTATAACAGCCTGGAGCTCTAACCTCAAGTACTGGTAGTGAGTAGGTTTCATGGAAAACCAAAAGTCTACTAATAAGCTGCACAAAACTAAATTAGCTGAACAATTAAGTGCATTAAAGGTTTTCAAGAGCCCACTTAGAACACATCTGTAGCAGAAAATTGAAGAATGGTTGGAAATATTTTCAGGCTCTGGAATGTGATTGTCCATATTCTTACACTGTTAGATGCTGTAACATGTTACATGGTTCCTGTCAGCATTTTGTCCATGTCAACCAAGATGCAAAAATTTATTTTCAGGTGTTGTTCAGAGACTGATCCAGAAAGCTCTTGCAGGAGGCAGTTTTCAGGTACCCAGACTATTTCTGGGGTCTGAGAGAGGCTGCAAGCCAGTCATTTGGTGCCAGTTGATTTTAGTGCCAGAAAACATTCCTGGGAGAATATACATGCCCTGTTTATATCAGCCTAGTTTTGGGTGTGTCTGGCTCAGCTACTCAGAATTAATCAAGTTGCTGGGATTGGGGACAGAGGTGAATTTTTCCCCAGCTCAAATTAGCCCTTGTGCTCCTCTGTAGAAAGTAATGAGGTCTATTTTTTGAGTATCATATGACAAATTTCTTTTTCAGAACACGATATTCACAATGTCCTTCATGGCTTCTGTTCCCTGTTGTGGCAGCTTCCCAGCTTTTCCTACAGCCTCCACTTTGCTTTGCATCAGGAGAATCCTGCAGCCTCTGCTGTGTGGGAACATCAGAAGTAGAAGATTTGTAGTTCCCTTAAGTAGAAAAGCTATTGAAGAGCTGCTGCAATCATGGAGACAAGACTTGGTAACCCAGGCAATCCATCTGAGGTCTCTGTTCCTAACTTCAGGGGGAAAAAAAAAATCATGATCTGTTTTTCCTCAAGTTACTGAAGTTCAAAAAAGACAGTCTTAATTCAGTTAACAAGTCAACTTGAAACACCCTCCAAAGCTTTTACTACCAAGACAAAAGCTTAAGGGAAACAGAGGTTTTGAGTAACTCCCTATTTTGTAACCAGACGAGGTTTATGCTTGTGCATGATAGACATACTAATTTCCAAAATGCAGCACTTTGGTAAAAGTTAGCTTAACCCTTACATTTTGCAGCTGAAAGTAATTAAGTAACATAATTGTTATTTTTGAGACAGCTAAATACAGGGAATAGTGAAATGAAACTCATTTTTTTTTTTGAATTACCTATGATTTTGGATTTTCACTGGTGTCCCAGTATCTTAAAATTTGTGTTTAGACCTCTAACCACCATAGCTGCTGATTTGCCTTTTGAGTATTTGTGAGCTGTGAAAATGAGGGCAGGTGCCTCAAGGTGGCCATCTAAAGCTTTAACCAGTAGGCCTTCCTTCATCTCTACATCTGACTTGAAGCAAAGGAGTTGTGATTGAGGTAAGAAGTAATACCCTAATTGTTTTGCAGCAGTTCTTGCAGTACTGATGCATGTTTTCTTTCAGTGTTCTTGGCTTATGTTTCATGGTGGTGGTCCTGTTTCAAACTAAATCTGCTCTTATTAGCTCTGTGTCAACATAAAAAATGAACAAAGTTACAGGAAGGTATTTTTGTGGAGAATCTCTTCCAGCACCTAGCACTCTCCCTTTAAGCTCCAACTGTCCTATAACTGAGGTCTATTTTCGCAGGCTGAGTTCAGTAAAGGATGCAAGAGAGAGTTACACTCAAAGGAATTAAGGGGTGGGGGTGTTGTGTGTGTTTTTTTTTCTTTTTTTTTTCCTGTTGCTCTAAACTGCATAATCAGGAGAGGAAAAGATCCAAAACTTCAGGGCAATGCACAAGTGGAAGCTTAAATTCTCATTCCCATAAAGCCGATTTGTCTTTCAAGGTTTCAGGATTTTTTTTCCTCTTCTTCTCCTGCTATGCCTAAATTTGGCCTTCTAATAACATTTTTATAATATACCGTTACACAAAGAACACAGCAAAATCAGTTCAGCTCAAGCCCAGCTGCTTGTAAAGGCTGGATGAAGGAACTGTTTTTTCTTTGCACTCTGCTCAGTGTGTTTCTCAACACCTCTAAATTATTTTTTATTTTTTATTATTTTATTTTATTTTTTTACAGGAAGAATTGGGACAAGATTTTCATTTTGAGTTTATAGGTCAGTTATCTTTCGTCAGCTCTGCTCCAGAAGTGTGAGGAAGTATCTCTAGGTCAGTATCTGGTGACAAAAGAAGCCTTTTAAGACACATTGCAGTTTCTTGCAAGTTCACCATAGGAATTCTCCTGAAGGATGTAATTTTCATTAGTCCTGTTTGTAGAAAGAGGACAAAATGTGGGCATTTTGGATACACTTAGATAATATCCTAAGAGGAAGCTACCAGAGATCGAATCATGTGCCTGTACACAGGCATGTGGTACATTTTGGATGCTGTAGTATATTCTTTGAAGTGTATGTCTTCTGTATTCCTTCACGATCCTCAAGAAGATGTGTATGCTACTGTAAGAGGTCAAATAACATACTATGTCTATGGTTTCAACACCTGAGCTATTCCATTGTTGTGGGACATTTGACCTAAGGTGCATAAAGAGAATATGTTCAGCCACAGAAACCCCTGTATACATTTGGTTATACAATTTAACCTACTACAAAACTATAGATTCCCAAGCAGGAAGCCAAAGGAATTTCTCAGCACCTCTGCAGGAGCAGGGATAATGCACGCAAAGACTCTTCCTTGTGGAAAGAGAAAAGCAATTATTGGCATGGTGATGGTGAATAAGCAATGACTGTGCACTCTTTCATCGAATGTCTTCTGCTTCTAGTAAATTAACAAGAGGCAAATTGAAACAATCAAAACAAGGTAGTTTTGTGCACAATGCAGGAGCTGTGTAATCCATGATCATAGGATACTGTGGATGATAAAATTTACACAGCTTCAGGGAGAGTTGAACCGCATGAATTCATGGAGGAAAAATCCATCTTAAGTTGTACTACTGGCAGTATCTTGCTCATGTGGACAGTGAAGAAAATCTAAGAACTGGGGTACTTGTACTCTCCTTAAGCTGCTCCCAGCAAAGTGAGTTCCTGGCAAAGAAAACCACCAGGTGAGATGGATTTCCTTATTTTCTTAAGGTTGTGTCCAAGAGAAAAATTGCATTTTGAAAGTCAAAATGTTTCACTTCCACTTGCCAACTTAAATCTGATTTGTTTTACAACTGAATCAACTTCAGTCTTCAGAAAACATTTAAAAAAGGTTTTATTTCACAGCAGATGAAACATTCTAGGTTTTCTTCAAGTGGAGTTTTTTTGATTATTTTTTTTCCCCATTTGCAAAGCAAAACTGTCATTTTTGTCTTTGGGTGACATGAAACTTTGCTTTATCTTTCTTGACCCCCCAAAATTGACTATATTCATGCATCTGTCCCTGAGAAAAGAGCTGCCCCTTTTTCCCATGCTATCAAATTTGTTATTAAAACAAAACAAAGAAATAAAAGCAATGGCCTAGAGGAAGAATCATGGAACATTGGACACCAAAAGGAAAACCTTGCCAATTGCAGTCAGTTTTCAACCTCGAGGGGGATGAGGGACTGAATATTGTTGTATAGTTTGCTAAGCCACTTGTAAAGCACTTTGGGTTTCTCCAGGATGAAAGGCGTTATATGAACACAAGTTGTTGTTATTAAGACTTGTGAAATGTGAAGACATTATTAAAGGTTGTGGTCAGATTTCCCTAGGCAAAAAGAAATTCCCCCATTGGTTTTGGATGTTTACAAGGTGCCTGTAGCTGGCTGATTCCCTCCTCAGTGTTAAACCCCATTTCAGTGGTCATGTTCCTTTTTGTTGGCAGAGCATTATTTAATTTCTCAGAAATGAGTTTTACTGGGCAGTTCTCAGTGCTGCTGGATGTTAGACACTCAGACACCAGGATGTTTTACACAGATGTAAGATATTAAGCACCATTCTCTGTTGACATTTCTTCTCTTGCCCTTGAGGGGCAAAGCTGGACACTTCTTCATGGCTGAAGATTTGCCATATAGCAACATCAGTATTTGTGGTGAGAATGACCCCAAAGCAGACCTTTCCCATCATCTTTCCCAATATGTAGTAATCCATGAGACAGGGCAAAGACAATGAGTGGCTGGTTGTCCTCAGGGTGCAGATAAAACCTATAGATTGAATCAGAAGAAATAAATTCAGCTGCTTTCCTTTCTGCAGCCCATTTCTGCCAAAAAAACAAATGCTGGTGTTCACAATACTTGATTTGGTATATGGTAACCCTTCTTCCACTTGTCAAGCATTCCTGTTACACCCAACTTCTTCCTGCTGTTGTTTCCATCTCAGGGGTTAAAGACTGACAGCGAGGTTGACACTCTGACAGCCCTTCTTTGAAAATTATCTCTAGCACAGAGGATAAAGGGCCTGGATTTAGTCCCTGTTTACCTGGAGAGTTGCACATTTAACAGCAAATATCACAGAGATAATGTGCTGCTAAGTTTTACAAGCAAATTCACCCAGCAGCTAGTTTGTGGTTTCTGGCATCTGCCCAAAGCTGCTCTCTCAGAGGGTCACAATATGTGAAGAGAAAGGGACGAGTTAGCATACATTTTACATGCCTGGCTGGAAATGGAAGGGAATACACACAGCTTGCAGGTGGAGCAAGGGAGGACTGCTTCCCTGTATCAGTTCAGGGAGACTGAGGAGAAAAGAGCTGGGCTGGGCTTTCACAGTTATGTATCCCTAGAATCCCCAGATACTGGAACAGTGAATGGAGGAACTCTTCTGATACTCTTACCAACCTCCAGGTAAGTTGCTGGATGGGGTTAGAAATTGTTGTGTCTGTTGCTCTAATGAAATCATTCTGCCTGTCTTTGAACTGTCGGTTTTTATAATTTTAGGAAGATGAGCAGTCAAGCCTGCTGATTGTTGAAAGTGCAAATTACTCAAAATGGAACAGCAGCCCAGAAGACAATACTGGCCTTCACGCGTTTTCCAGCCTGCTGTCAGTGACTTCAGCGCATCCCCTCAGAGATGTGTAGCAGGTGCCACAGGTTTGTAAAGAATTGCGTGAAAGGGCCAGCAGACTGGGAAGCACACAGGGGTCCTTGTTTTATCTGTTTCAGCAGAGGGAAAAGCAAATCTGTTATCACCTCCTGCCCCAGGATATGACATTTTACCAAACCTGGGGCAAATTAAAGGCTGCTGAAGCAGAGACCACAGCATATGTCACTGTGGTCTTCTCTGCATCCACCTCCCTCTTCGAAAGTGCCAGCTGCTCATCCATGGAAGCAGTGATGCCTCACTTGCCTGGCATCCCCTGCCTTTCTTCTAAAGTTGAAATGATCCAGCACAAGTAGTAGGGAACTGGATTGACTCCAAGGTAGAAAGGTGGGTGAAGAAGGGGGAGGGGGCTTTGGAAGAGGCTCATACTCTAAATTGATTTAAACTGTGCTTTTAGGTTCTTTGAGGTAGGGATTCAACAAGCTCCTTCAGTGCTCTTACCATCTTTGAAAGCAAGTACTTTAGGCTATTTCAAGCCTCTGTGAAAGGAATAGCAGAGCAGCATGTAAAATTTTCTCAGCTGACACTCAGGGGAGGAGAAGCTGCAAATAAGGAAAAAAAAGCCTTTGAAAATTCCCACCTCCTCCACTTTGAGCCACCTCCGGAGTTGAATTGCATGACCCACTGTGCTCCTTGCATAGTGGTGGAAAGACCACTGAGGTACTTCATGGAGACCTGCCAGAGCCAGGCATCTGTCTAGGAAGAAGGGTGCTCTGTACAAAGATTGCCCCTTTCAAAAGGGGAGGAGGTGATCACTAAAATCTTGCTTTGCATTTGCACACTTCAATCAGGAATTAACAGGGGATAAAACCTAATCAGCTCCTAGCCTACAGTTAAAGTTTCTACATTGCTTTAGATTGTTGGGATCTTGAAGGCGCCTTCCTCTGCTTTGGTTTGTCTATCTTAGTGTACTCCAGCTTCATGGCTGCTTCAGAAAGTCAAGAAATGGACCTATAGGGCATCTCTAAGAGCACAGAGATGGCTGAGAAACCAGTCCTGAAGGATTCCTGTTAATGCCAGATAGGTAGAAAGTTATTACATGCATTGCTACATGTGGTATGCAAATTATACATTGAAAATAAAGTAAGCTGCATTTTCATCCATGTGAAAATGTGATTCTCTTCAGACACAGAAGACTCTTCACACAGTCTTGTCTGTAAGAAACTTACTCTAGAGAAAAGGGATCATCATATTATTAAAACAAAGTATCAGAAAAGGCCGTAAGAAACAAACCCAAATTCTGATGAAAAGCTGTGAAGATTCATTTCATTTCTTCACTTGCTGCTCCTGAGAACAATGCTCAGAAGCTGAAGCAGACTTCCCAATGCTGTTTGCATTTGATATGACAAATCCAGGGTTGTGACAGGTATATTTCAGACACCTATTTCCAAGATTTCTTTGAAGTCAGAATGGGATGCACCACTAAGCAACATGTTTGTGATTGTGGAGACTTTTACTAAATTAGAATAGATGAGGTTTTATACCACTTTGTCGCTGTATTCAGTTGCTTAGAAAATTGAGGAGTATACCTTCTTTTAGCTCCATTTCTATTTAGTAGATCTTTGTCCATGTGTTTACGTTGTGCTTAATAAGCATGGAGTACATAATTAAAACAACAACAACAAAACAAACAGCCAAAAATGAACAAGTAGACTCCAATTCAGAAAATTAGTCAACTGTGCAATTTCATTTCAATGATTAGTCCTGTTAAGAGTTACATAAATGCTTAAATATGGGATTAATACCTCAGCTGTAATATCTATATGGTTTATTTCATGGCATCTCACTGAGTTAGGGCTCAGGCTAATCCCTAATTCCTGGTTCAGCAAGTATAAGGTTTCTCAGCCTGCTTAGGTCACAACCCCTTTCTAGAAGTCAATCATTTTTGTGACTCCATGTAAAAGGAAGAAAAATCTGCTGGTGATAACATGGTGAAGTCTTTTTAATGCATTTGTGCTCAGGCTTTCTGTGATCTTGGCAGGCAATATTTGACCTTGGAGATGAAGGTGTTACAGGGAGGAGAATACAAAGATTTTCTTAGCCTTGGATTGTAATAACATTCCAACACCTCATGAACCCCCTTGATTGGCTTTCTGACCCCTCACTCCCTTGTCCTCCCCCATCTACCCTGATTTTGCAACGCACAAGTTGAGAAACTTTTGCCACAAAGACAGCTAGGCTCAGTGCAGTGGTTTCAAGGGGCAGAGAATTGACTGCTTTGTAGCTCTGAAATGCTTCACCTGCCCTGCTAGAAAAACAGAAAGCAAAACCAGGATACTTCATTTCTAGTCTAGATTGGCCGAAGCAATGGGGAGGAGAAGATGGAGGAGGAAAAGGAGGAGGAGGAGAAGGAGGAAGGTGGTAGACACCAAGGCTGTGCATATGACTATTAAATAAGGGAGGGCATGTTCTTGCTATTGTCCTTATGCCCCATGTTCTCCTCTGCATCCTATGTGACCAAGTCACAACACAGGGAAAGAAATCTGCATTCCTTTCACTTTTTCAAAGCAGGTTTTTCATATTTCAAATTATTCTTGGAGACTAGTTTTTCACAGTCATTTTCAAAATACGGGTATCAGAGCTGAACTCCAGATCTGTTAAAGTCTTCCTAAGGCAATATATGAAACTAATTTGGGTTTCCTAATCCTAGCTGGCATTTCATAGTATAGTGTTGCACTTTTATAATATGAATGATACGTGTTTACACTGGCCAGCTACCGAAGTCACTCTGTTAGGCTCTCTATAAATGGTGTTATAATTGGGAGAAAATGCTTACAAACTCTCTTCACACCTCTCTGACTCCTTCTAGCTCTGCCTTGCTCCAAGGGTGCCCATTTTGCTGAAACAGCCCAGCAAGAACACTTGTTTGCTTAAAAGCCAAGAGTTTTAACTCAGTTTCAGAACTTTTTTTACCTGAATGTGATGGGTTTCTCTGGTCTCACTGCCTGATGATCAAGCCTTTCTCTAAGGTGCTTGATTGCAGTGCTGTATTGGAGAAGTAGAAAAGGCCTAATGGCTCCATTTTTGACTGTGCTTACATGCCTTCTCAGAGAAACTTGCTCATACTTAGTGAGGAAATCTGCCAGCAAAAGCAGGACCCAAACATGGATTTCCAAATTCCAAACTCTGTCCTAAAAGCAAGGCCATCTTTTCTTTCCTGTTGTTTATCGGCAGGCGCAGTACTCCCATGGTGATTCTGTATGCAAGTTATTCAGCCTCGCAACTTGCAGTTTTGTACTTAATTTCCACACAATGGTACCGTACAAAGACACTTCCTCTTTAAGTGGCTAGCTCTGATTTGCAATTAGCTGATGCTGTTCAGACAGCATTTATGTGGCACTGGGGTTTTTCTGTGATACGGTTTCCATGTTTACATTCTGCAGGTCACCAAAGGTTTTATGAGCTCATACCTGTACTGCATTTCTCAGCAGTGACTCATGAGCAATCAGCCAGCCTATTCACTCCCAGAACACCATTTTACATTTGGAAACCTCCTTAACTGTAAATATGTCTGAAAGTTACTGTGGATCTGTCAGTCAGTGACCCGTCAGGACAGATGTTTACAATTATTTTCTCAGAAAATATAGGCCAAGAGCTGCAGTAAAGAATATGAATCATTTCTGTGCCCAGTTTATCATTTGAAGGAACAGAACCAGCAGCATTAGTCTTAGAAACTGTTGGTTAAAGCTAACTTGGACATCTAAATATTCATAAAGGCATGAAAGATTTGGAGGAAATTATTTTCTTGGTTGTTTGTAAGCAAGCAAGAAAATATTAGTCACTTCACTTACACAGTGGATTTGTGGCCATTGTCACACACCTGGATTTTCATTAGCATACATCAAAGTAGTCTGTTAAAGCCTGGAAGTCACTGCAATACATTTTATCAGAACATAGTAAAAATATTGTGAAAACCTGAAAAAAAAATTTGCCCCTGCTTGAGTGTGGTTGGCCAATGTGACCATCCCATAAATCTTAAAACTGAAAATTACTAATACATCTCTTCACCTTTAAATATCTTCTTGGGAGAGTAAAGTAACCACATATTGCACTGGAGTACTCAGAGTTTGAAATTCCAGGAGGCTTTAAAAGTTAGTTCTTTGGGACCTTGAATATTGGTGAAAAGAATATCATAAACACTTCTTTTAAATACTTTTCTCCATTTGGTTTGGAATTTGAGACGTTATTTATAATATTATTACTATTATTAATAATAGTAATAATAATTATCTGCTTTATCTCAGTTTATATTGAGTACTAAATTCTTTTCAAGATGTAACCATACACTGAGTTTCTTAAAACATGACTGCAGCTCGTACTGTGTGGTACGATTTATCTGTTTTGCTTCCGTTTGGGGTAGAGCTTGGTTAGTTTATTTTGGATGTTCTTACATTACTGTCAGTGATGAGGGCACATATGCAACAGATCGTGTGCAAATGTGGTTCTGAGTTTTATACCTAAAGCTATTTAAAAGATGGGAAAATTGAGCCAGGGAGGAATTCAGTTGCCCACTATCACATGTATAATTATTGCTGAGGATGGGAAATATTACCAGAGGTCTTGAATTGGAATTATGTTATATACTTATGGAAGAGTATCATGTAAAATCTAGGTCTTATAATTCCCTGCTTGGGTACAACTAGGTAAAATAGTGAGGTTTATTTTTGGCACTCTTGGTAGTTATGAAGCTACAGTTGAAGGCTGATACAATGTTTACTGCTGCTTCCCTGTTCATTTAGGCATGTTGCTCTTTATGCTGGACTCCCTAATACATAAATTCTCTCACCTGTGTTTGCTCAGAGCAAGGAGATTTTGACCCAAGACTAAGGCTTGCTAGAAGCTACAATACTGTGAACAGTTTCCAAGAGGTCAACATCACTGCATTTCCAGCTACACCACACCTTTATAATAAGCTGTCCTCTGAAATGCTTTTCTGAGCTCTTGAATGTGTTCTAGCCTTTTTCTTATGGGTATGAAAGCTGATTAGTCT